TTTCGTTTACAACAACAGTAAAGATTTTTAAAGGTGTTTCATACTAGCTGACCGACGATTCAGTTTTATGTCATTAAATATTTGGGTAATAATTGTGCCTAAAAGTGAGAAAAGTTCACTCTGACAACAAATGAGAAAGAATAACATCAAAACATTGCAGATCTGATATGATTTGAACGATCTGATGTGCGCTGTTGAAGTTATTCATTCCCGTTCATAACTTTTTTCTCTCTATACAAGAGACACATCGGAGATCTGAAGGGCTAAAATAAAAAGCCACTGTCACGCTGATTGCAAAGATACATTTATTTCTATTAATGCGCAGTAACGAACTCGTCTCTGCACTGCCTTCGTCCTTCCCACTTTTCTCCTCAGTGACAATGATGCGAAGGATGAGATATGTAAGGACACGACCCTTTATACACACTTGACTTCTACTCCGAGGATCTATCTGTTATCTCCTGTAACACGCATGAGTATACTAGTGCTCTTTCTCTCTCTCGACTGCCTGGTGTTAGTACATGTTAGTACCCACTTTTTCTTTCAGAATATCATGCAATATATGAAGTGCTGTGATTCGTAATGGGAAAGTGTGGCTTAGAATCTCCTGCAATGGAAACGAAAGCTTTAGGTGATGACAAGGTGGTACTCAAAGGGATCGACAATGTTGCCTTTGAGCGAACGGACACAGATCATGGCGATACATCCTCCAGTGGGTCAAGCCATGGCGAGTTCGTTCAGGATTCAGGTTCGGAGTTGAAATTACCTGTTCGGTGTCCACTAGACGGTGAAAAAAAGTCAGATGTGAGAAGAGGTTCCCTTCACCGCGTGCAGGCTGCAGGACAGGAAAGAAAGGTTATAGGAGATGAGAATGAAGAAAGGCAGACAGTAAAGTATACTTGGCAGGTGAGTCCTTTTAACCCGACCCTGCTCACATGCAATATATGCGACATACAAAAAACAAATGAAGTTAAAATAAAATGAAAAAAATAGAGTTTTGACAAAATACACACACGCAAGCAAATACTCCACGGCATATAATCTACATCTAAAGGTAGTGGCTACTATAGTAATGTCCCTGATCCACCTAAGCGTCGGGACAATCTACGGGTATCCTGGAGTGATGCTTCCGGAGTTGACTGACCCAGACACGACCGACATCTTTCTAAGCACAAATGAGGCGGCGCTGTTTAGTTAGTGATGAGTTTCTGTATTGGTGAACGTGATGGGGGGTTATGAATAACAAATGTTGACAAGGAAAATGGGTGCAGATCAAATTTCAATCAATGTGCAAACTTATTATTGTTCCTATTAAAAGGATTTGTCATAATAATTTCCCGAGGTTCCTTTTCCCCCCAAACCAGGTAGCATTTCCAGTCTAGGAGCAGCGTTTGGTGCGGTCCTAGGTGGGGTGTTCCTGGTAAGGTTAGGTCAGCGTACGACCTTGCTGATCGGCGTCCCTCTCACCACCGCCGCCTGGCTGGGCCTCGCGTTCGCTGGCGTTCCTTGGCTGATCCAGGCCATGAGGTTCGTCCTTGGCATCACCACTGGCTTCATTGCGCCTGCAACCGGTATATACATTCTGGAAATCTCTCACAAGAAATCCCGTGGCGTGTTCTATGGTGTGCTGACGACGGTGCGGCAAATGGGGTTCCTGTGCGTCTACGCCCTCGGGAGTTCAGACTTAGGATGGCGGAATGTGAGCCTCGTGTGCGCCGGGATCACGCTCGTTCCGTTCCTAGCTTTGTTCTTCCTGCCGAATGCGCCACGCTGGTTGGTGACCCAAGACCGCGTCGAGGAGGCCCAGAAATCCCTCGCTTTCTTCAGGGGGAAATACTACGACTCGACTTCCGAACTGAAGGCTATCACTGACCAGGTGGGACAACATGCTGAGCAGAATAAGGCCTTCATAACACAAGTGAAAATGATGATGGAGCCCGCTACCCTGAAGACCCTCGCTCTACTCGTCGTTATATCGGTCCTTTCAACTCTGAGTGGATATATCATTGTCACAACATATACGGTAACTATTCTGCAGTCCACTCAAGGAGATCTGGATGCGTATATTAGTACCATAATCATTGGTGCTGTGAGGGTAGGAGGCACTCTTGTCCATCTCGCCGTTATAGACCAAGTGGGTAGGAAGCCTCTGTTAGTAGCCTCATTTAGCCTGGGCACACTTTGTGTAGCCGGTCTCGGAGGCTATTTCTACGTACAGAACACAACTGGAGATGCGAGTTACTTGGGCTGGCTCCCCCTCACCTGCATGGTTGTCCTCATATTTTGCATGGGCATCGGGCAACCCGTCGTGTCAATCGTGCAAGGTGAACTGCTACCCACGACCGTCCGAGCAGCAGGCGTTTCCCTCATAATGATCATCATGTTCCTGGCAGGCTTCGTTCTAATACAGACATACCCGCTCTTGTCGGGGGCTCTGGGTGAGCACGGAGCCTTCTGGTTGTACAGCGGGGCGGGTCTTGCTCTGGTTCTCGTGGGCGGGCTGAGACTCCCGGAGACTCGCGGGCGATCGCTGGAGGAGATCTCGGCAAGGCGGGTTCGGCGCGCGTCGCTCTCCCCGTCGCTTGCCTGAACACTCCATTGGTAAAATATTGCATGTGATAAATAGAACTTCATATAAGAGAAAAATAAACCTTATAATGAGTGCATAATGTATCACAATAAAGAAGCACAAGCATGGATATATGAACAATACTGTATGGATGTAATAATAACAGCAAATAAATGGTTACCAACATTATTAGACAAGCCGGTTTTAACCTCCTAGGAAGACAAGAAAAACACCTAACAAAATGAGTAAAAACAAAATAGAAGTAAATAAGTAATGAAAGATGAGTCAGAACTTTCAAATGTTTTGACTTCATTAAGATAACACTTATCAGATTGTGAAAAATAATCATGATTAATTTTGCCGTTTTTGACGTTTACAATCTATTGAGTCTAGATATGAAACCCCTGTGTCGTAAAAAGTACAGGCATACGTCAACAACATGTGGTGATTCACCAGTTTACAGTGAATGCATAATATATTGGTTTAATTGACGAAATATATCAATATGTACGCAAGAACTGTTTACATCTTTAACCATATGGATTTTCATAAGAGTTCTACTCATGGGCATTACGATAATTCATTTACACACACACTCAGACACACACACACACACACATACACACACACACACACACACACACACACACACACACACACACAGACACAGACACACACACACACACACACACACACACACACACACACACACACACACACACACACACACACACACACACACACACACACACACACACACACACACACACACACACACACACACACACACACAGAGAGAGAGAGATGAGAGAGAGAGAGAGAGAGAGAGAAGAGAGAGAGAGGAGAGAGACAGAGACAGAGCGCGCGCGCGCGCGCGCGCGCGCGCCGCGCGCGCGCGCTCGCGCGCGCGCGCGCGCGCCGCGCGAGAGAGAGAGAGAGAGAGAGAGAGAGAGAGGAGAGAGAGAGACAGAGAGAAGCGAGAGAAGAGAGAGAGAGAGAGAGAGAGATAGAGAGAGAGAGAGAGAGAAGAGACAGATAAGAGAGAGAGAGAGAGAGAGAGATGACGAGAAGAGACAGAGAGAGAGAGAGAGAGAGATAGAGAGAGAGAGAGAGATAGAGAAGAGAGACGGAGATAGAGAGAGACGGGCGATAGGAGAAGAGAGATAGAGAGAGAGATAGAGAGAGAGAGAGAGAGAGAGAGAGAGAGAGAGTAGAGAGAGACGAGAGGAGAGAGAGAGAGAGAGAGAGAGAGAGAGAGAGATAGAGATAGAGAGAGGGAGAATAGAGAGAGAGAGAGAGAGAGATAGAGAGAGAAGAGTAGAGAGGTGAGAGAGAGAGAGAGAGAGATCGAGAGAGAGAGAGAGATATAGAGAGAGAGATAGAGAGAGCAGAGAGAGAGGAGTAGATAGAGAGAGAGAGAGGGAGAGAGAGAGAGAGAGAGAGAGAGAGAGAGAGAGAGAGAGGATGGGAGACAGAGAGAGAGGAGAGAGAGAGAGAGAGAGAGAGAGAGGACAGAGAGGAGCAGAGAGGACGGAGAGAGAGGAGAGGAGAGACGGAGAGAGAGACAGAGACGGGGGAGAGAGAGAGAGAGAGAGAGAGAGAGAGAGAGATAGAGAGAGAGAGAGATAGAGAGAGAGAGAGAGGAGAGAGATGAGAGTGGAGAAAAGAGACCGAGAGAGAGAACGGAGAGAGAGAGGAGAGAGAAGAGAGAGAGAGAGAGAGAGAGAGAGAGAGAGCGGAGAGAGAGAGAGGAGAAAAGAGACATAGAGAGAGAGACGGAGAGAGATAGAGGAGAGAGAGCGAGGAGAGAGAGATGGAGAGATGAGGAGAAGAGAGAGAGAGAGAGAGAGAGAGAGAGAGGAGAGGGACGGAGAGAGAGAGAGAACGATGAGAGGAGAGAGGAGAGAGAGAGAGAGAGATAGAGAGATAGAGAGATAGATAGAGAGAGAGAGAGAGAGATAATACAGAAGGGACGAGTGAGAGAGAGAGAGAGAGAGAGAGAGAGGATAGAGAGAGAGAGAGAGGAGAAGAGAGAGAGAGGAGAGAGAGAGAGAGAGAGCGAGATAGGGAGAGAATGAGAGAGAGAGGAGATGAGAGGGAGAGATGAGGAATAGAGAGAGAGAGAGAGAAGATAGAGGAGAGAGAGAGAGAGAGAGAGATAGATAGGAGAGAGAGAGAGAGAGAGAGATAGAGAGAGAGAAGAGATAGTAGATGAGAAGAGAGAGAGGAACACAGACAACAGTAGGAGATAAAACACACCACACCCACAGGTGGAGCGAGAGAGAGATGATATATATATAGAGAGAGAGATAGAGAGAGATAGATGAGAGAGATAGAGAGAGATATGAGACACAGAGAGAGAGAGAGGGATGGAGGCAATAGAGAGATAGAGAGAGAGAGAGAGCGAGATATATAAGAGATAGAGATAGAG